CATAAACCACGTGATCGGCAGTATCCAATCATATTTTGACCCCCCAGTTGACCATACTCTGTTTATATAGGGCTCTAGCAGGCGCCTACGAAATAAATGTTAATTGAAAAGTGTTAAGAACTGTGTTTTACTTTAGTGTTTTCCAGTCATTAACAGTGCGACCTGTTAATCAGGTGGCGCCATCTGTTAATCATATTTTATTTAAATTTTTAAAAATATTTTTAACTATCATAAAATGGCAAAAAGCTTAATTTTGAGGGTAGCGATGGGTTTTATAAAAAAATTGTAAATGCTAATAACAAGTAAAATCGTTATTAAGTCCGACCCTGTGGAGATACATATGACCCCTATTGCCTTTCCATCCCCTTGACCTTTAAATTAACCAAAATTTAATAGCATCAATCTCCCTAATAAACTTTCTTGCTAAATTTCAGAAATTTTCGACAAAAAGCACAGGAGTTTTAAGTTTCATATGCTTGCCCCATACGCTAATATCCATACATACATACAGAAAAACCTCTCGAATTCTTTTACATTTCTCGACGTTTCAAGGTCCCGAGTCCAAAAATGTAGAAAAATCTTGGTGTCATTTTTTTTGCCTCTGTTATGTATAACAGCCGGAAAGTAAAAACATTAGTTCCAGGAAATACATTTACGATGTTATACATTCGTGATAACCAAAGAATATTGGTTGACAGAAGGGAAAATGTAAATGAAGAAACCGAGGGGGAAAAAACTAACATGTTTGTTATAAAATACATATAATAATTGGTTGTAAATACGACAAAGTAAATAAATTTGTTTTACAATACTTTCAGAAAATAAGAAAAAATTATTAGAACAACATGTAAATAAAATAGCCTATATCAATTTCCTCTACAAGCTCAGACATTTAACCATACTGTACTAATATTCAAGCAAAAAGCCAACATCACACACCGTAAAAATTTAAATCATTCGTAAAAATATCAATTGTTTTAATATTCATCATATAATTTTTATATTAATTACTCTTGAATATAAAAATTATATATATAGCTATTTACATATTTTACAAAAAAATAAATTCTAAAACAGTTTTATATTAACAACAGATTATGCTTCTATGTTTTTGAGAAACTTCTAAAAAACAATCTAAAGAAATTAATTTTGTTCATATTTTGGCTTTTACATATAAAAATTTTTGTCCAATTATTATTAAAATATTTATATTTGATAAGATTAAATATAGCAAAATATTGTTAGTACATAATGAGTCTTAATTATATCCTTTATAGTAGTTATAACTTTCCCCATTTAAAATTAAAGAAAATTTGAATATGTATGATATTATTTTAAAAAATTAATGCAAGATTAATGAAAGAAATTAAGATATTTATTTACATTACAAATACAGGATTAAATTTTGTTTGGTGGGAAATTTCAAACAAATTCTCTCTTCAGTGTGAAAATTTAAATAGTTCTTAAACCATACAAAACATCATTTTTATATTTTGATCAATTTGATGTATTGAACAATTTTAAATCCACAAATAATTGAAATATAAATATGTATTATATATTTTAAGAACAAAAATTATATACATTCATTTGTTTTCTTATTTTGTTTTGAAGAAAAGTTTCTAATTTTTGTATACAGTTGTATAAACAAGTTAGAAATACTCAAAGTATAATTTTGGAAATGTCATTCAAATGCATTATATTTTTATAAATATCAAATTATCAGAAAAAAAGATATATACATATCTTTAATAAGTTATGTATAAGCACCAAATTTAAGGGTTCAACATACATTGGAAATACAAATTTCTTCAACCATCTTCAACAATTTAATGAAACATTATACATATATATATATACAGTACATATACTGTAAACAGATGGTTGAACATAAAAATCCATTAAGTAAACATAGGCAATATTAAAAATTGCATGTAAAACTTTTACCTGTAGCTTTGAGATAATAGTTAACTCGTTTCAACATCAAAGTATTTTGATATTATTATCCATCACTACACTTGATCTTTTGAAAAAAAGGAAAACAAGGAATAATGGAAAAATTATTGTCATTGATAAGAAGTTTGTCAAAAAATAAAATTATTTTTTTAAACTTCCTATGTATCAATATGGACATTTTGCAAATATTCTACACTAATTTACTTCAATATTTAAATTTTCCAGTTAGAATAAAAAAAATAATAATAATTCTAGGTTTTTCTATCATTGTAGGCTTATTTGCTATGGTGCACTGCATTTGGAAAGCAATTGGATGTAGTAGAGAACATCATTTTTTGTCTTTTTTTTTTTAGTTTTAATTTTAGACAAGAAATATACAAGAGCACATCAAAATCATTTCAAAATTTACTCTTGATAATCTAAGTCTGCATTCAGTTTCATATTTACAAGGGGAGGATATAATAAATGACTAACTGGATGAGGATCTTCAAAGAAATAATGTACAAGAGAATTATATATTATGTTGAATCAACATAAAATAAATATCTTTTATGGTAAGGATAACAATTTTACTGCAATTTATATAACCAGAACATGATAAATATCAATTAAGTTTCATATTTTTAAATCTTACAGGCTTTGTTTGTGATGATATTTAAACATATAAATTTCACAAACATACTAGATGTATATATTTATATATAAATATAAAACTTAAAATTGTTTGATAAACATTATATTCAAGATTAGATAAATATTTTTAAAAATTAAATTGTGGATGATTCAACATAATTTTAAATCTCGTGTTCACAATATTTCCATTTAATTGAAATCCTGGCATCAGTAAAAAGCATGTTATTTTATTCTCTCTTGTATTATATTATAAACTTGAAAATTTTTAATCAATACTACAGTCTAGCCCACAGCAGGTTAGTGCAAATGATATCTAGAGAGCTATACTTTCCCTTTAAAGAAACTTCTACCTCAACATTATCAAGAGCAAAATTGTCTGTAATTAAAAAAAATCAAAAGCTTTCTAAAATGTCGCTCCTTCAGGTGGTTGAGTTAACCTTTGGTTCTCCCGTAAAGTCATTAACCTACGTAATTCTTGAAGTACTGTTTTGATGGAATAATTTCTTTGCCAATGATTTAGAACTGATAAATTTTCTTGATTTATCTGAAAATACATTAATTAAATTAAATATATCTGAAAATTATTAAAAATTTTTAAAAAGTAATGAAAGTTAGTCATCATAAGCTACTTATTCATTGTCTTTTTCATATATTTACTTAGTTATTATTAGTAATACAGCTTAAAAAATAAATTATGTTTTTAAAACTACTTAGAGTAAGATAAATTAAATTACAGTAGAGCCTCGATTATACGACCCCCGATTAACCGACACCTCGGTTAACCGACCATCCTAGTCGGCAAATTTCAAATGTCTGCTAGTGATGTGGCGCTACAATATTTGGCTATGTCTTGGCTACTTTAATATTATTTTTACGTGTTTTAGCTGGCAACATCATTTGACCATGAAAGGGAGCCAGTATTTAAACGAGGCTTAATTTTCTAATTTTTAACGATACAATAGCGACGATTATTATTTTAAAAAATTTTTGTTAGGCTTAACATCGATGAAAATTCAACGCGAAGTAGGTTAATAGCGATATACTAATATACTAATTACATGGGATATAATAATATACTACACTAATAATGGATTTTTTCATACTTTTCGGTTATCCGACTTTTCAATTATCCAACCAACCCCAGTCCCCAATTGGGTCAGATAAATCGAGGCTCTACTGTACATTTAAATAAACAGTATGTGATACAGATAGGAATGAATGAAATATTAAACTAAAAAAAAACTTAAAATGAAACGTGAAACTATTATTATTTTATGACTAGAAAATTGTTTTCAAAAGTTTTCTTATTTTAAATTTTATTTCTTTCTCATTATCTTCTGAAAATGTAAGTTATAGTTTCTATAATCTACAAATTTAGTTCAATAATGTTATTAGTAGTATTTATGATGGTAAGCTTTCCTTATTTTTAGAAGGATTAAATTATACAAAAGCTTTGAACTGTAAATATGCATATGAACTGAATGATTTTAAGAAAATAGTAATGTCATATAATGACAAAAACAGAAATAACAGAAACTGAATGACATGACAGAACAGTAAATTTATCTTCACTAGAATTTAATACAGCAATAAGGTTAATGACTAATTGATGTTCAAATGATTATCAAAAATTAATTAATAAGATACAAAATACAATATAAATTCTTATCTTAAGAATTTAAATGCTATAAGGTACAAGCTATTTTGAGATTAAAATCTAAAATTTTGATACAGTCGACCCCCCTATAAGATAGAGATACGTTCCAATTTATTAGGAATCCGATTTCTTACAAGTCGTTCCAATCACAGCCCGACACGTGTCAAGTTTACGGACTACGGCTGATTGAAAGGTTTTCTTCCATAAAATTAATCGATTCTACACTAATNAATGAATAGAAAGTAGGTGATGATTATTAATGATTAGTATGATTACTAAGTTGGTTTTATAATTTTAAGATTTCACTGCCAAAAAATGAATCTATGATTATAAGAATTAAACATACGAACTGTTTAGACTTTATTAACGTTATAAATGTTAGGATTTGATTTTATGTTCAATAAATGTTGATTTTCACTAAGATTGCTTTTTTATTGATACATCTCGCCAAAAATGAACTCGATTCTAATTTTATTCTGAAAACTTTCGAAGTCCCGGGACGTCCCGGATTTTGATCGTGAGTTGTCTCGTGTCCCAGGACTTTGAGAATGTCGAGACTTCCCAAACCCTAACTGCGGGTGATATTCCCACTAAGTTTACCTTTGTCTCTGCATTGGGTAAATCAGTGATTGAGCGTATCATTTGTTCTGAATTTATTCTAGATCAGTGTAAGACATTGTCAGTATTAGATATAGATGAATCGGACCATTTCCCGATTCAGTTGAAACTAAGAGGTAATACTGAAGAATGAAATCCACAGTACAACTTCAACCAAGAACACAAATTTAATATAGGTAAAAAACAGATTTCTAATAAAATTGCAGCCCAGCATTGTGACATCATAATAAAATAACTGCTCATTGGCTGATATTTTTTCTTTAGGATAATTACTTTATAGCGTCTTTATAATTATAAACATAACTTATCTCTCTGTTGGTAATTTCAACAATCAGAAAACATTGTTCTGAGGCAGCTTTTTGTTGAGCAGATGATGGCTTTAGCCATAGAATCTGTACTAATTAAACAAAGCCAAGAAAAGCAATGCTTTTATCATCTTCAATGTGTTACTTTCCTTTTCTAAACTAGTTATAAAAACCAGTTTAGAAAGGAAAGTAACACATTGTGATTATCCTATTGATTTAAGAAATAGAAACTACCTTGTCATTGTACTTCAATTCATTTGTTACTTAAATTGTTAAACACTATATCACTTAACAGTTTGATTAACTGAATAAATCTATATAATATTTTGAAACAGTGCAAATAAAAGGAAGATGAATTAATGAGAACTAATAAATTCCAGAATAATATTTTCTCTCTGTTAATGGCTTTCTGTAATTTGATATAACAGAAAGTATCTAAATAAAGATTTATTGGAATATGTGAAAGGTAAAATTATAATAATTCTTTTATTAAAATTCTTGCTGATTCTTCATCTGTTGTTATTGAATTCTACCTATAATGATATACTTTTTATTGTAATATTTTACTATATCATATATACAATCAAACAATGTTATTATGTTATCAGTTTATGCAAAGTTCACATTAATGTGAGGTAGATTTGCAGTCCAGTGGATAAGAAATGATAGGATTTTAATGTTAACATTAAAATCCTATCATCCCTTATCCACAGGTAAATCAGTTAATACAAATTTCATTAATATAAAGTGCGAATTTTTGGTCCCTTCAATTTTATTAACAGATTTGACTATCTATACACTTTGTTTACTGTCATATGTTATACTCTTATCTTGTGTTTTTCAGCATCATTACTTTGTATGCTTTCACTATTTTTTTGCATTTTGCTTTTAATCTAAAGGTTTGTTATTGAAGAGTTCTTTCTTGTCCTTTAGGGTATTACATGTATTAATTAACAAGTACATGTTAATAAGTAAGATTTATTACTTTTATGCTGTTTATCAGATTTTTGAAAAATGAATAATTCAGCTAAAAATATTTAACAAAAACAATAAAAGCGCAAAACATTATACAGTAATATTGAGAAAATAAGAGATATTTCATAGAAGTATTATGTATTTTTGAAATTTTATGATAAACAAACTTTTCTGAAAAGAAGAAATAACTTGAATCCATTAACTAAGCAAAAATTAAAGTATCACTTTATTTTCCTCAATACAACTTTATATATTTATTGAAGTTTTAGTGAGATGAAATGAAATTTTCATCCAATAAAGAATCTTCAACTGCCTTTTAAAAAAGGCTATTTCATTTAGAATTTTGATGTTAACATGTGTTAACCAGTGTTTTCCCTGAAATGTACAGTACATACTATTTATCAGATGCTGTCCATTTAAAATTGATTTTAGAGCACAAGGATGATATTTACGATAATTATGATTATAACAGGTCCTTTTTTTGCATGTCTATATGTCATACTCGATGATTTATTATTATACTCTTTAAATTTAGTTTGTTGTGTATCATCTGCAGCTCACACTAAAAATAGATATACTCTCATTATTAAAAAGAAAATTGACATTTTTATGCTGATTTTTTGGGCTATATTTATGTTAATATTTTAAAGTTAGCTGACTAGGCTGCCACTTTTCTACCAAATGTTACAACAGGAAAATTATTTTTTTTGCTGATTATATTATCATTTATGTTTCATTTTATTTTTAGATAATTTCTTTTTTTTAAATCAACGTATAAATATATCTGGTACATTTCACTTCACATAATCTGTATCATCAAAAAAGTGCTTATGCTTGAAATATGTTACACAATGGTAAAGGTGCTTTATTTGTGACTATATAACAAAAAAAACTCTTAATATAAAAATGCAGACAAGCTAAGCAACAATGAATTTTACTGTGGTAATGAGCAGAGCACAGCAAATGATATGAAAAACACAAAAATATACCATTTATGGTACACAGCAATGCAAATGTGTTAACCCTTTATGGCCTGACGGGACTTTCTAGTCCCACTATCTTTGATATTTTTTATTTCATAGTGTATGCATTATAGCTTTCTGGGACTTACATTTTANAAAATGCCATGAATTAAAAAATAAGCAAAAAATTATTATGTTAACATTTACGCTTAGTAAAGATAGACATTTGTTATTAAAAGGAATTTAGTTTTTACTTAATAAATTCAGATTTCATTGTCATTCGGTCAAATTAGAAACAGTAAATTGAATAGTCAATAAAATGTAAGTGAAAACAATATTACTGGAACAAAATGATTGGCGATAAAAGGAGTGCTGCTGCATTTATAAGAAATTTAAAATTAGTTACACAAAAAAATTAATTAGTTACATAAAAAAATCATTATTTCAGTTAGTGTCACTGTATGACTTTTTTTTAATTTAATGTATCTATCAATATTGTTTAGGAAGAGAGACCCTTTCACATATACAAATAAAAGTTTGATATGAAACTTGCTATAATTTCTCAATTATTAACAATATATCTTTAATTATGATATCAATTGGGTATTCAATGTCAAACTTTAAGATATTAAGTTGTTGTATAGTATAAAATATGTAATTTTACTGCATTAAGTATATTTAATTATTAAAATATTATAATAAAATTTTATGTTTTATACATAACCAACAAGATTCATATGCAATTGATTGTTTACATTAGTTCTACAAAAATTTACATGTGGGCTGCTAAAGGCATACAAATGTATACAAAATATTAGTCAATGCTACATTGTAATTACAATGATGAGGGCATTCTAATTATATTGGAACCAAAAGCCCAGTCTTATCTATTATCCAACTTTCATATTATTTCTTTGTTTTATTGCTCTGATGATAATTTCAGTTGAACAGGAAATCCTGCTCTTAGGGGAAGTTCTGGACAGGAAATCAGTTCTAATTAACATAATTTGATCTTTGTTCCTATAAG